AATGCAGTTATCGGTTTTGTATCCGTAACAAATATCGGAGTATCCGATATCGGAAAAAACGTCATATTGCCTCGTCAATATCAATTCAATGCGTATATTTTTTCATCAATTCGGAATATATCACAAAGTTTATTCTTTATTCGTTTAATGCAAAATATGAGCATACACCCGAAACATTATGGTATTTCGAGTGCAATGATTCATCGTTGCTTTCAATAGTATTTTAAAATAACAATAATATACAGTGCCGGTGCACATCCCCGTGGCTACCGCAAAAATAGTGGTTATTCACCCGAGACACATTAATGTATCCTATGTGGCCAAGGTGCGAATAAGTGCATATGTCCACCACCACGATAATATATTATTACAGTATAACCTAACAATAATAAAAAAAAAAAAAAAACCGGAACACACTTGGCACCATGACTAGGCCACCGGTCATAACAGCGGGAAATCGAGAAGATGCAGGATAATATATTACAGTTATTTATGAAAATTTAGTTTACTCTTATTGAAATCAATGGCAAATCTTTGCAATCTAAAAACGATTCTGAGCATTTTTAAGTAGTTAGGATAAGTATAAATTATACTGCAATAATAAAGGCCACTAAAAATAAAACCAATGTACGAATCGTCATTTGCTGTCGTTCTTTTTGTTTAGTTGAAAAAATAAAAACTATCAGGAAAATATAATAACGTTTTTTAAATAGAATATTTAGGGATGAAAATTTCAGATTTTTGAAAGTATGCTGTGGAAGACACAGGAGGATTTTTACTAATTCAAAACTTTCGTCTATAGTAAAAGTAATTTATTTCTTACTAAGAAATACCAATTGAGTTTCAAAGATATCGATGTATAGGTACTTGAACCTACCTTAGAAATATCATGTAAAAGAAAAAAAAATAAGTTGAAATGAAAAATAAAACGCTTTAAAAGTTAATATTTTTTTTTTTTTTTTTTTACACGTCGTTGATATTTTGTACAAATTCAATTTTCAGGCTGTATAAGGCAAAATAATAACAAAAAAAACTTATAATCTTATTTGTAAAATGTAATGCTAATGGCCAATTTCAAACGTTCTCACGAGCGAGGTAAATTGTAAAACCCATCACATGATGTTATGAACTCACTCGCTATAAAACTGACTGTAGAACATTAAAAAAAATATATATAATATAGTTGATCCGAGTATTTTAAAGGGTATTTAGACGGTCTATAAATTCACTCATGGTTTTTTTATGTAATTATATACGGAGGGAAAAATGTATTTTCCATCAAGTGTTTAAATTGCAGTTAAAATGCAGTATATTTAAATGGCCTTCATCAGAGCATATTTGCTCAACTGAGAAATATGTTTTACAGATCAAAAACTAGTTGTTACAGTGACAAAAAAAAATGGTGATACTGAGGACGTATGGGTGTGCTGATGTTGTAAGTGTGATGTTGGGAATTCATTTTTAGTTTTTTTTTTTGTTTTTTTTTTTAATTATTGTAAAAACTGCTGGGAAAATCAAAAAATAGCACCTCTTAATACCACACAGATAAAATTTTCTTTCGGAAATGGTACTCTACATAAATATCAAAATTATTATTAAAAAAAGTTGTTTATTTATAAAAAAAAAAACATTATTATAAACCAATACATTCCTCATTCCACGCAACAAATATAAAACTAATGTTTAAATACAATTTTAAAATTTAAGCTTATATAAAACTTCAAATTTGCTATAGATTAGTTTTAAAATATGCAATGTGCATTATTATGGATTTTAAATTCCATTCAAGAACATTGAACACATGTTTTTTTTTCTTCTTACGTTTATTTTTAAAGATTTTAATTGTGCAGTTTCGGTCTCCAAATATAATTAAACCTAAGCCTAACCTTGAATAGTTTCTTTAGACTAACGGTGTGCTAAAATTATAAATTCCAAGGTACTTTGTCATATTATTATATTGAACTTTGGTGAGTATTCTTTGTATAATATTATTCAAATAAAATTCTGGTTATTCTATAGCGTTTTTCTATGGTTACTTTTTCGAATCTAAAAATTTTCATCTGATTTTTAGTTTAGTTTATATGACGCAACTAACCAAGCGAAAAATAATATTAAAAGAAACAGGTGAAGCAATTTTAAAAGTTTTTAATAATTGTTTTGTTATGTAAAGAAAGTTTTAATTCGTTAAACATTGTATGGAAACTGCGCAAAAGGTATCTATTTATTACAAACACACAAATTAAGCATATAAACCATCGTTACGTAGCTCGTGTATTATATTTATATCGCCCGCGTTATTTTCGAACTTAAACTTAGCACAATATTGAGTTTGCCTTAAAAAATTTATTGTGTCTTCGACAACACATTCAAACTAACAATAACGTAAATAAAAAAAAAAAAATTATTAATAACTGTGACAATAGAAACCTTTATCTAATTAACCTAATTATGAATACTGTCTTTCAAAATTCCAAATTTAATTTTGCTAAAATTATTGTATTGATCGTTTCCCGAACTATAAGTATAGGTGCCTAGAGGTATATCTACCTATTTTTAAATTTTCAAAACAATGGACGATAACTGAAACCTAGAATAAACAAATAATAATTATTCATAACTATATACGAGATATCAGAAATAGAAAATGATTACCGATATCTAGACAACATTTTTCTTTCGTATAATAAATATTAACACCCTAGATTCTTCGTGGTTTTCAAAATATTAGCCTCATCTGTGGAAAAGCTCACGAGCCGCCGCTGAGTCATACATTTTCATTAGAACGTCAAGTAATTATATTATTTACTGCAGTATTACGACATCTAAACGCGGAGGATTCTGATATATTTCGTGTAATGGCCAGGAATATTCGTGCTTTGTACAGTTTGAGAACAATAATAATATTATTCTCGCTTTATTGTAACACGTGCAGACTATAATGTCTTTGGTATAAATAAATTTATATCGAATAAGGGAGAGTGGAAAGCTTTTAAATATGTGTGTGTATATATATATATATATATATTATTATTATTATTATATTCGATTTACACGCTGCTGCGAGGCGGAATCGTCTTCCAATATCGTTGATTAATGGAGCGAGGACGTAAAAAAAAAAATAATATTATCCGCGAATAAGCGAAAAGTCGTTCATTATATTAATAATAAATCATTTTATTTATTACTCGAGGTAAAAGGAAAAACGGTTCTTGTTCTTATCGTATTCGCGGGGTGTAAAAGTGTTCGTATAAACGACGAAGAACGCCGCCGTTACCGTCTTATAACGTTTTATGTATATACGTATATATATAGGTGCAGGTGGGTATGTAGGTCGTGTATAGGTTGGCACATTGTACGTAGATTTATGATTTTGTGTTTCTGCCATCATGTTTCCGCGGTCAAAACGGAGGGAAAAACTAAAATAAATAGAAATTATTAGCGATGGCATATTCTCTGGAAATATTCCAAAACCGACGATCGGGTTGATAAGAATCGTATAGGTAATATAGGGCGGGTAGATGTTATTAATAATTTATTTCTTTTTGTTTAGCTTTTGAATTTTAAAATTACTAAAATATCTATTCCGTATTATGGAATAACATAAATACGGTTAATTTAATCTATACTTTAAAACAAGGTAATTTTTTTTTTTTTCCCGAAAATTGTTTGGTTTTTTAACGAATTCCTTTCATAATATAGAACCAAATAACACGTATAATGTATATCTAATAAATGTTCAAGTATAGCTACAAATTAAAAAATACGTTTATTACCACAAAGATCTCACACATGATATAACTTTTGTTCTATTCAATAATTTTAAGTTTTTTTTTTCCTAGTAATAATTAATGAAGCCTTGCGCTATGATTCCTCTGAGTAGTATATATTATTTAAATATTTTTTTAAAAAACTAAAAATAAAAAAATTTTAATTTTACAAAATCAAACATAATGATTTTACAAATATTTACCAATTATTCTTGTCAATTTTTTTGAATGTTACATAAATTATGATTCACGAAATTATTTTTCGTGAAAAACTTGATGAATCGATTGATATTTATTTATAACAATGAAAACGAAAACAATTTAAACTATTGCAAACTGCATATTACATTCGGTATAATAGACAAACGTTTATCTCAAGCCGTATTACAATAGACGGTTTTTTATTTGTTTAACATTTGCCCAACTATTTGGAGGGTTGACCCTGCAACGACAGCCACATAATATAATATATAGTAGTTTATTAACCCGTACAATACTGTCACTTTGAACTCGGTATTTCTTTGCATAACTAACCACTCCCAAAATACTTAAGGTCCGTATAACATCTCAGTTTTCTTCGACCAAATATCTCTATTATTCGTACGCGGGAAAAAAAATGTAAAATATGTATTCTAATGTTTAAGAAAACTATCGCCGTTTTAATATTAATGAGGATTGTTTTAGTAGTTTTAATGAATCGGCAGTAGCGCGTTCATCAGGAGGGGGACTAAGGGAGCTTCAGTCTCTCCATTGGCGGCATTAAAATACAACGAAACGAAGATATAAAAGCTGTTCAGCATTGAAAACGTTTAACCTGAGCTGGGTATATAATACCCAATGAACCAAATGCCGTACAAATTCAAAATCATAAATTGAATAAATAAATCAAAAAAATGACTTTAAATCGAAATTTGTCGAAAAACGCAAAGTAAAACGTCTTGTTTTCATTCGCCACTCGTTATTTTAATATTTGGTATCGCTATTATGCAGTGCATTCTATATAATGCATTCCTATTAACAGTTTTTAAGATATAATAATATAGCATCGTGCGTCTTACTTGAGGAGTTATCCATTTCTCATATGGTTATATTTATACTATGCACCTATAGAGAAAGAGATAAAATATCAACGAAAATTAAATTAAAATTATATTTATTTTTTAACAATAATATTTAGAATATTACAAGTGTTTTAATAAGTTATTCAATAGTTTTACCGGCATAAATGCTTCGTACATACTGCGGACGATTAAAGGAGCAATGCCAATAACATAATATACCTAGCGCATTGTTCTTAAATATTTGAGAGTATATACAGTACATCCGAGAATTTTTTTTTTAACAAAGTGTCGAGAGTATAAAGCGCATGCATAGCGTATAGTCCAGACAATTGTGAATTAGGCCAACGATATAGTACGTCATATTTGGCTTAAATACGACCGAAGGGTAGAGCGGAAAAAGAGGCGTTTTAATAACCAAACGCCCCCCCCCCCCCCNCCCCCCCCCTGTCTACTCGTCTGCTCTTAAACTCAGCGAACGGTCGCCAAGCTAACTCCGTATAATAAAAATAGTCGAAGATTATATGGTATAGAATATACCATATAAATTTTGAAAATAATGACGTAAAACCGATTATTATATTATTTAATAATGTCGCTGTTATTTATTTTTTAAATTATTTTTTGGTTAGGTCGATATAAACAATACTGTCCGATATTGTTAACTGCGATTTAGTTTTAGGCCATGTGCATAATGTTATTTCAAGGAGAAACGGGAAACGGCACCGATGTATGCGAAGGAGCCAAATATTGGTGGAGGAGGGTTAGTGGTGGGTGGGTAAGGGAACGAAATGTAATAATTATAATTTATTATTATTATTATTACCACAATATATTATAATAACAATTGTTGGCGCATAATGAATTTTCGATTTTCTCATGGAGTATAAAACAAAGTAGGTACTGCAGCAATAATCCACTTGAATAACACAAAAGGTAGAAAACGTTTTCGAGTGGCGAATATATAGAATAATAATAATATTTTGTACGAGCACTGTGCAGCAGTGTGTACGAGTGTGCAACTTCCGTCGTGCAAAATATTGGACGAGGACCAAGAGAGAGAGAGAGAAAGAGAGGGAGAGGCAGACAGACAGACAGACAGAGCTTAAAAACCGGTAATGAAATTCGAAAAAAAAAAAAGGCTCAAATAGACTCGGGCATATTGTGTTTTTTTTTATTTTTAATCGTGTAAATCGTACACAACCGTACATAATACGATGTATTGATTTATACCCGTCACGTTTATATTTATTTACTATCTGTCTGTAAAAAATACCATCGTTTTATTATTTTATCGATCTGGTATTTTTGGTCGAGAAAAAAAAAAAAACAAAAACACATTCTCAGTTTAATTATATTTTATACAGAATATACGTTCATGTTTATTATTTAGTATGGTAATGACGACGACTATCGATATGCCGCGTATTTATAGACTCTATCAGAATTCTGCTTGAGCATTGTAATAACCGAGTTGATTTTTAGAATTGTAACCTAGTTTATGCGAATCCAGGTTTAGATAAAGCAAAAAGGAAATTAAAAAACTTAACCTAATCATTGGATCAAATCTGATAATGCTCTAAGGAAACTACCGTTTCCTAAGAGTAAACTTATAACCGATTCCAACCGATATCATACCTATTCTAACCAATATTGTCAGGACCTATATTTTTTGTGTGAAGGTTTCCTGTGATTCAAATATACAACTTCGCGCCACCACTGTTTACGAATATTTATTAATTTGTTAAATCCGAAACTTGGATGGACTAAAATCAAATTAAATGGATTCGAAACGCTTCCATAGAGCTCCGATGAAGTTTTTTATTTAATCAAGTCTAGCTTATGTTGCAAATATGTTTTGTTTTGATTTAGATAAACTCAATCAAATAAAGTTAAATAACTTTATAAAAAAAGTTATTTTTTTTAAAAACTATATGTTAAAAAATCATTATATCATGATTAATTTTTAGTTTTTTTATTAACTAATTTTGAGTTACCCGAATTAAAGTGTTTTTTTTTTTCATATATATATATATGTATATTTAAATTCATTAATAACCATTATCGAATAAATTTTATAGCGATATAAAGTTTAGAAAAAGTAGTGTAGGTATACGGAGAGAAATATTTTTTACCTACTTCATTCGCGCTATATAATATGATTTACACCTTTTGTTTGGCAAAAATAAATAAGGTATACGACTTAAGACATTTAAAACGCCATTATTAGGCGAAACCATTTTAAAATTTAGCAAAGTATCTATTAAGACGTTGTGCCATTATGCGATATAGCAGTGTTTAATAAAAAAAAAAAAAAAAAAAATGTAATCAGCTTATTTCGAAAACTATACAAAATTATTGACTTTTCGGGACTAAAGATACGATGAGCGCATTATCGTTATTTAAAATGTTATTGTATTCGTAATATGGATACCGGGGGTTATCACTAAAGCTTATAATTTGTAACCGTGCACAGACATAAAAAACTTATGGAACGCATACAAAAACCACTATTATATACTTAAAAGTACTATGTATAGATATATAATCCGAAATTTAACATTAAATCGGAGAGATTTAACCGCGGAAACGCGAATACATCAAAGCCAATTTCGGCCACACAGCGTACTATAATGTATTTTAATATTATTGTATAAGAAGTATAAAGCCGCAGTCGCAATAACGCTGGCCTAGCAAAAGAACTGAATAACAAATAAATCTCGAATAATACCGCAACGATGTTAAAAATCTCCGCCGCGTTAGTTCTATGCAAAACTCGAACCTTTATAATTATATAATTCTATTAATAAATAATGACTGTGTATATGTATATGTATGCATATACAGTGTGCACGCGCGTAATACCAAGAAGTAATAACTTTTTAATTAAAACAAAATTTAATAAAATATGTATACTTAAGATGGGTAGTTGGACTTTTGAACGCGGTTTACATACCGTCCCGCCTCTGCACCGACTATTGTGCTCGTGGCCCGTGGATTACGTTTAACCGGAGTGCCGTTTGTGGTGGTACATGAAATATTAAAAAAAAGAAATTAATAAAACTCTGATAATGCTGATCGGCGTGTCACTATTTTACCAGAGAAGCCGGAGGGAGACATATTAAATAATTTAATTTACGCAACGTTAAATCGCCGCTAACGACAAAAGGTTCGATCGAAAATGTTCTATGCGTACGTTAATTCAATAAAAAAAAAACCCGAAAATCTCACAATATACTGCAGATAAATGCGATTTTTAAATTGAATAATTCACTGATGGCTATCGTTCTCAGAGATATTTTTCATAATTTTTAAAAGTTTCGACGTGTATGACTCGTAAGATTTTTTTTTTTTTTTAGTATGTCACGCGTCAAAATTCTAAACTAACACGTTGATTAATTTGCCAACTACGAACAAAAACTGTAAAACTTATATATCACGCTTCTATAAACTTTCCAAACATACATTTTAACTTTTCTTATTCGATTGTTCCATTGCATAAAATTATGAAAGTTATTTAGTTGTATGAGATACAGAATAGTGCCGACTTCAATAATGTATGCGGATTACGGGTGGGGGGAGGGGAGGAGAAATGAAACTCTGAATAAATGTGATATTTTCTCGTCAAAATATATAATTTTTAATAAAAAGAAATTATATATAAAATAACTAGAGTTTGTTTTATATTTTGAGCGTTTTATTAGTTTATTTCAAATCGAATATAACAAAAGAGCTGATACTGGGAACCAGAATGCCACTATTTTAGGTAGGAAGTTGGAAAGACATAGAGTACATAAAGTTATTTAATTTATATCTGTGCATGCAACGATAACCATTGTTAACGAAATTCAATACTGAAAAAAAGTTCGGTAAAATGTTTTTTAAAATGACGCAATTTGTATAATTTTCTACGAAATTTGAATTTAAAGACTTATAAAAAAAAAACTAATACATTACGCTTAACTTTTTTTTTTACCACTATGTACGAGTTTAAATAAACCTAGGACTAAATCTGCATACATTTCTGTTCGAACAAATAATTTTATATTAACCTTTTTTTTAGACGTGGTCAATTTTTCAAAACATATGCTGAACAACAGCTATGCATTATAGGTTTGCCATTTTTGAATCTTTTTAGTTTTTATTTGGTATAGGTATTGTGTGGATATTGTTTTTTGACCTAGTCAAAATGTTTGAAAATTTAATACCGTGTTTTTTATGCACTGTATTAAAAGAGTTGAGAATAGTTGTTTTTTTTTTATTATTTTTCCGATGCTCGATTTTGATAAAAATTACGGCATTTCAGCATGTGTTTAAACGAGATTCACTGATATTGTTACGTACGCCTCTTCTATATCCTATACGTTCCCGACTTCTCACCGACAACAGTGACCTACCCGTCGTGCGAAGTATGCCCGTCTTTTTTACGCCGGTATTTCCGTCGTCTGTTCGTTAATCATTACGGTCACTGCGGTCGTATAACCGCACGTATCAACCGATTTGTCGATAAATCGGTCCGTCGGTTAGAGATTGTCCGTAGGAATTGTCGAACGTAAAAAAAAAAAAAGAAAAAAAACCCCCGTAAAACGGACAATATCGCGCGAATCTCCGTCGATATTCATTAGGTAGGTACGCCCGTATTCCATAGGTCATCGTCGTAACGCGCACGCGCGTACAAATGGGCGCGTAACGCGTAACCCGAACACACCGCGCCGTACCGTTTGACTTTTACGACTGTGCCGCAGTACGGGGCAGGTATAACATAATCGCCCCCGAGAATATCGTATTGTAATATTATATTATATTTATGCGGAACACGGGAGGCGTACGCGCGCGCGGCGGCAGCTGCGACTTCCGGAATTCCGGAGATATTACGCGTATAAATATATAATGCGCGCGCGCGCGCGCGCGCGTGTGTTACCGTGTACGGGAAAACCTCTCGGCACTCGACATTACCGCGGAACGCAACGTTATGTACCCTGTTTTAAACGCGTCATACGGACGAACGGCGGCGGCGGCGGATGATAATAATAATAATAATAATAATATTATTACCGCCGCATAGCCGGCCGATATTATCCGTACTGATATTTTAATATGCGAACGCGCGCGATACGGGCACCGTTACCGGGCGCGCCTGCCACCCGCGCCCGAACGGCCAATAATACGCGCGCGAACCGCGAAGTATACCGGAGTATAATAACAACAATAATAACGGTGGCGGTCCCGTGCGATTGTGTTCGGGCGGAAATCGTTTTAACCGCGGCGTCGCGTTGTGAACGGCGCGATTGTTTTTATCGTTATTATTGTCGCGGTCGTCGGCCACGGCCGTAGTCACGGCGTCGCGTTACGGCGGGCGGACGACGGCGGCGACAGGCAAATCCGCTTTTCCCATTTTACGCGTTATTATTGTAATCGTTATTTTCGCGAGAGACGCGCGTAACTCCTGCGGCGGACGAAACGATCGAGAACGGACGGACCGGGCGCGTCGCGAGGAGAA